TCAAACCTGGCCAGGGCCAAAAAAAAAAAAACTGCAAAAAAAAAAAGTGTCATTGAACTGGCAAAGAAACCAAACTAAAACAAAACCCTACCAATAAAACCTAAGGAAAATACAATTCCTGAAGCCAGTTCTACCCAGTGGGTATCTATCAAACCACAGTGATCATGAACTTTTGAGCATGGTACAGAACACAAAAGATGAGACGTAAAACTTGGGGCCCACCAACAGGGGGAGTCTAGACGAAGACCTCACCTAAGGCAGGAACTGTCAGTAGAAAGGTGAACTAGAGATAAACTGGTAGTTTAGAACAGAAAAGCAAGGAAACTTGCCTATCTTAACTAATCACAGTGATGTGTGAAAGGAAAGAAAATACCTCTTTTGAGAACTTGTAGATGTAAGTTGACCCTCATGTGGATTCGGGACTGAATTCATGCTATTTGTATGGACCTAAAAACTTCAAACAGAAAATTGAATTTAAAGTGGTCTTGGGTTGGTAGCATCTGCAGGCAACAGGGAGAAGCTAACACAAATCATCTCTAGCAGAGAGGCTCCAAATACTTCCCACAAAGAAAGGTTGGAGGAACGTAAGGTCACAGTTAAAACACACACACACACACAATACCCAAGGAACTAGGGAGGATGAGTGAGAATGGCAGAAACAACAAATGACTGACTCAGACCTATAATGACCTTAGATACAGAATCATCAGTCAGATAACATAAAATAGTTATGCTTACTATATTTTAGGAAATAAAGGTTTGAAATATCACAAGAAGAGACTATAAAGACAATAAAGGCGATTTTAAAACCCTAGGACTTCTACAAATGAAGACTATAATAATTGAAATTAAAAACTCTGACAGGTGTGATGGCTCCTAACACTTTGGAAGGCCAAGGCAGGAGGTTGTTTGAGACCAAGAGTTCAAGACCACCTTGGGTAACATAGCAAGACTCTATCTCTATAAAATATATGAAAAAAAACTACTTGGCCACAGAGGCAGATGCTTGTAGTCCCAGCTATTAGGAGGCTGAGGCAAGAAGACTGCTTGAGCCCAGGAGTCTGAGGTTGTAGTGAGCTATGATGACACCCCTGCACTCTAGACTGGGTGACAGAGCGAGAATCTGTCTCAAAAAGACAAAATAACAACAACAAAAACTCAAAGAATGGGTCCATCAGCAGATTAGAAACAAAGAGACAATTAGAAAGAAGATAAGACATAAAAAAAATTACCCACAATGTAGTCTAGGGAAACAAAGGTAGATAACATGAAAGGACAAATAAAAGACGGGGAACACAGCCTGAAGTAGTCCAAGTACATCTAATCATATAAGAGAAGAAAGTAGGGGAAGTGGGATGAGAAAGAAATACTATTTGAAGAGACAGTGACTGAGGACTTTTGAGATACCACCCTACAGATTTAAGAAGCACAAAATCTCAAGCAGAATAAATAAAAAGAAATCTATACCTCGATATACCAGGTAAACGTCAAACAGCAAAGACAAAGAGAATGCCTTAATAGCAAACAGAGGGAAAAGATGGATTATCTGATAAGGAACAACAAGCCAACCTATAGTTGCTATTGATTTCTCATCAGCAAAAATGAAAGCCAGAAAATGGCTTGAGAGAAAACTTTTAACTTAAAATTCTGTACTAAATAAAAATATCTTTTACAAATGAGGTTTAAAATAACAAGCTTGAAATAAATATATTTTTAGAAAAATAAGACCTAACAGACCTTCACTAAAAAAAAATAAAAGGCATTCTGGCTTGG